GGGCATTCTCGGCTCCCTGGCTGGGGTGTAAAGGATCCCAGAACACACATGACTAGAATCGCTTTCGGATGTGGCAAGAAACCGTGCGCAATGGTGGATTTATTTTGACTCTGTTTCCATGAACACCGTTCTTTATTCCTTTCCCTTCGTTTGCCCATTGCATTTCCCATACTTTGTGGCACCATACCAATTCCACTATTGGTCCCACTATAGATATATATATATATATATATATATATATATATATATATATATGCACACACACACACATATATATATATATAGTGTGTTCTCCCTTTTTAGGTCACTCTACTGGTTGGCGGAATGCGGTTCCGGCTCACTGCTGCGCAACCACCACCGGTCCTACGTAGGCTAAGGATACTGCGAGGGCCGCCCTACCCATACGGAGGCTCGAGCTTGCGCTCTCAGATTACATGACAAGCTCTTTACCTTTAGGCTACTGGCCGGTCCTGCGCCTACAGTGGGACCATAGACAGCTTGCGCTGCACCACCCACAGCTCTATCTACACCCCATATACAAAGTAATCCCGAGGGAATATGACCGGGGGGCTTGCGGATGGGAGCCACATTTCATCAACGGAGCCAGTCCACACTTCAACATGCACAGCAGTGGCATTCTTGATTATCCCAATTGGGAATCATGTGTACCAGACGTGCACAAGGCGGTGGCTGGGCCGTAGCCCCTTCTACACTGGATGCATGGAACCACTGAATCTAGCACGGCCACGAGGAGCGTGCATCCCATCCCCCCAGCCACCATTCACAGTCACATCGAGCCAGTATTCGATGTGGAGGCTGTTAGACAGCTAGGCACCATATCAACATTCAAATCAAGCGGAACTACATAGGGAATATCAAATAAACAAAACAATGTTTGTTCGAAAATGAACACAGAATTGACACGGAATATTCAGTGAAATAACAGGACTGATAAAACAAAACAAAACAAAAGCATTTTATCCAGACTAAATGTAATTGGATGTAGCCAAGCTGTAGTGAAGTAGCGTGATGTATGCAACATCGACCTCAGCTTGAGGCGCTTGTAATGACGGCTTAAAGGATCATTGAAAATGGCACCTGATGCGGGACCTAACTCCTTCGAACAGATATCCGGGGTCTGGGTGTCCACATCTTCTAAGTACCGTGCAGTCATGCAACTAGCTACCAAGTGAATATAATGTAGTGTCGTTCCAGCACAACTGCCACTAATCAGAGTACTTGTGCTCGATTCCTCCATTTGCGGTACTCTTTCCTTTTCTGCGTTGCACCGAGTGAACCTTATTAGCTCCTTGACTGCCTTAGCGTTTTCACCTAGTAACAGATTCTCGCCGTGCACTTTACATTCGCCTTCTGGAGCACCTAGGCCGTCATCAACGAATACCACTATCCATCGACCGGCTGCAGCATTTGCCATCTTCGTGTACATTCACCATTAGCCGCATTGTCCTAGACGCTACCCGGATCTTGGTTCTATCCCGCCGTTGATATTTCGGCTACTGAGCCTTCGTGATATATGCGATGAATCGATTTGTCTTGATGTTCAATTCACTTTATCCGCTTGGGTTCAGAGATCAAGCATATGTAGATGAATTGAGTGACAGTTAATTGGTCGCAAACTGATACCGAACTAGCCGTAAACTATAGGAACGTAGTCCTACCCAGGGGATCCTGGATACCTTCTTGTTTATGTACAGGATCACTCCCAACCCACAAACTCCGTGTCACCCGCGGAAGCATTAATGGGCAGGATGTTCCGGACTCTACCTCATTTGTTACGCCTAAAACACGAAGACTCACAAGAGAGAAATTTACAGATGGAGAGGTATTACAACTGCGCTATAGAACAAAACCGCGTCATTTCACCCCCGAGCAGAATGTCTTGGTCAGAGGCTACCATGAAGGAAGGCCACATTGGACGACGTGATTAATCAAAACAAGACAGGGCAAGGTACTGTATGAAGTCGCAGTGGGTGACCGCACCTGGATCGAGCATGGAAAGCAGCTCAGGCTGACAGCCACCTGTGTCAGATCCAGATAACGCAGTTTGCTTTTGATCTGTTGTTGGAGTCGCGTGATGCGCGCCCGTAGCGCCGTAACCTCTCGGCTCGGCCCAGCATGTGTCTCTAATGATCCCAGCCCGAAATCTCCACGGTGGTCAGTACGTCCGCGAAGGCTGTGACTAAAACGCAGCTAGACTTTAGAAGAAATTTATACGTTTGGTTCTCGTGGGGAAGGTATTAGGAGATAGGAGCAAGCGAGCCTACGATCGATCATCACCGTTTGGAATTAGAACTTCAATCAGAGATTCATTGCAGCTCTGCGTAGGGCTACTAGTTGCGTTCGGCTCAAGATGTGAACTCTGTTAGAGGTTTCATTGTTTTTTATCAATCAGTTAGCGTCCCCAGTGTGATTCATTAGCTCCACTGTGTTCAGTAACTTTGCTTCACCCTATATGTATCTCCGTATTCCCCATGAGATATGCTTCTGTACTGCCTCAGCTCGTCTGCGGTCGGGTTTTTTACGCAGCTGCGTTGGGTTTTAAGCAGCAAATGCGCGCAGGATCAACAGTTCCCCCAAAGATTAATTACCACGATGTGGCTTTTGTTTTCAATCAATCATTTTCCGTAGATTTTACGGAGCCAAACCAACGAAACTATTTTTCAACCGCTTGTAAGTCACTGTTCCCCTTAACGATCGACATTGAGGAGTGTGACCATTTTCCGAAGACGTGGCTTTTAATCAGACGATCTGCTTGCATTTCCGTTTTGCCAAATGTTCCGTTACTTACTTCAAGCAACGAAGTTTGTTTTTCTTGAAACGACTTTTTGATCATTGCTCGTTCCAAACCGTTAGTTCCGGTTGTTCAATGACTACTATGAACTCTAGTAAGCCCCTCCGCCACAAACCACTGTAAATCTGTTACATTTGTTCAAGTCAAGATGAGCTTTATGCACCCGGATGTTTGCAGATGGAAATGAATAAACACAAGGGTGCACCGTTGTCACCCGAGTAAATGGTCTTGCTGGGTCACAATGGCTGAGATGTTCCCATCTCTAGCTAACTTCTATACTGCCGGTGGAACGACCTTGCATTCCCGAGCAAAGATCGCAAATCGTTGAACAGAATCTTCGATATTTGTTTCTAGACACCGGCAAAGCTTTACTGAAGCATTTCTTCATAATTGGTTTAAAAAGGTCTATAATTTTGAACCCAAAACCAACAAATTGTGATTCGTACACAGTATATTCACGTCTTTAGTCAAACTATAGATTGAGTAATACGGTCGAAGTGACAATGAAAATACTTTGATCAAGAAACTTGCCAAAATACGAGGTGCTGATAAATTCCTGGCTTTGGCCAGAAAGAGGAAAGCTAGGGTCATGCAATGGCACATTTATTCAACATGATCATACCTAAGACTATTCCACTTGATACATCGTATCCGCAGCTTTTCTAGACAGGTCAGGTAAAAGTCATTTGGTTGTACTTCAACCCAGCTATTAGCAGCATCTTTGATTTCAGCAACTTTTTCAAAACGTCACCTCTTCAGATGTTTCCTCACTCTCGGAAAGAGATGATAGTATGATGGGGCCAGATAAGCTGAGTATGGGGTTGGCCGAACCAAATAGATTTCCAAATTGTTCAATTTGACAGCCACAACATTGAATGTGTGTGCAGGTGCGCTTTCCTGCAAGAAAAAGACGCCTTTGGTCCACTTCCCACAGTGTTTCCTCTTAATCGCCTCACTTAACTGGTCCAGTAGGTCAGCATAAAATCCGCATGGTGATACTGGAGTCCTGAGGAAAGTAGTCTATAAACAGCACACTGCCTTTGTCCTATAAAACAGGCGTCGCGATTTTTGAGTACTTTCTCGGTGTGGGACTTCTTCGGCCGCGAGACCCACTGTGGCGCCATTCCTTTGACTTCCTTGGCTTCAGGGTCATATGTAAATTCAGACTGCGTACTCAGCTTACCTAATAGTAATGTTATGGGGTCGAATTCGACGGATGCGCGCTACTGACGAGTTCCAGTAAGACGAAACGGCCGTCTAGCACTTTCCTGGATGCTGGTGGCTGTCTGGCTACGACTAACCCCCTTGAAAACAATCAATCCCTCCACTACTCACAAATAATTAGCAATTGCCTTAGCAGCTTACATTCCACCTCGATCTGGTGGCAGCTTGCAAAGGAAGCCGTTGCTCTGGGGGCCAGCCCTGTCCTTTGCACGTTCATGATGCGCATGACAGTGGAAGATGAGCAGCGCTATATCGCAGTTATATATAATTCATGACGGTCCGCCACCATCACTCATGGCTCAGCGGCATAAGTTGTTGGCTCGCACGATTAAGCTCCAGGGTTCGAGCTTGGCAGGTACATACTACTAACATGTCCCAATAGGACGAACCGGCCGTCTAGTGCTTTCCCGGATGTATGGTGACTGTATGGCTGTGAGAAGTCTTATCAAAGGCGGGATTCTTAGTTCAGGTTGGTAATTCAGCTGTTCATTCGTTCGCCGAGGCTGGAAATTTGTTCGCAAACGTTTCGCCATTATACGAGGTGATGTCTGCGCTAAGACGCATATTGCAATCTTTCAGGAAATTTGTTTCTTCTTTTGCCATCGCAGCTTCTGTCTAAAAAGTCGCGTTGTTACAGTCACAAACACCTCATTTTCACACAGTTAGCTATTAAGGTCTCATATACACCTACAGTCTTTTTCTGTTTTGTTTGGAAGATAGCAAAGTCAGGAACTTATCAGCATCCCTCGCGTTCCTGCAAAACTGGTATGTCCACAGTAGATAACGTAATGCCAAATCTCCGGAGAAAAGCAATGGCTATCTTAAGGGCCTTGCCATGATGCATGAAAATCTGATCCGATTTCGCTCAATCATATGTTGTGTTCTTTTTCTTTCTAGTACTTTGGCCTCTTGCAACCATGAGTTGTACTGAAACGAAGTCCCGATTGCCTCATTCTCTATCATTATGTATATGAGAAGCGTTGGTGAGTTACAAACCCCTCGTCTAATCATCCGGCTTTAGCAGAAAACTACGTCCGGATTCGGCGTTGTTGCTCTCTTCGCCTCATTCTTGTTTCCGCTGTGATCCTAACAGGTGAGCTCCTTCCGGTTTTGCTAACGTGGGTACGTTTTTCTCCGCTGAGGTAACTGTTTTTTTTATTCCTTCCCCTTTTGTATAGCCCAAGGTCGCCAGATGAAGTTCGGTTACTTCTGGCTTCCGATCCCCATGTTCAACTAAGCAATTCGATCTTTGCCCTAACACATCGGCTTGCTTTGTTCGATTCCGATAGGTAAACGTCTTTTTATCCGTTTTCACATGCCGTATAGTTTCTTGAGAATTTTCTTTCTCCTATTTTTGAAGTATAGTGACCCCAACGGGATCGTCCTCCTCGGAGATCTCACAGATGGTGGCAGTAGTGTGTCGGAGTGGTCGTTCTCGGATGCGGTTCGACGCATCAAACATATCTTCATCTCATCACATCACATTCCGGTAACTGTTTCTCGATCAAATTTGTCTACATTTTATGCAGTGCCTTGTTGTTCCTGGTGATAATGATATAGGCGGAGAAGGAAATGACTTCATCTCTGATGAACGCGTGCTTCGGTTCCAAAAAGCGTTTGTTGGATTCACTGAGGTCAACGACTTTGGCTTTCTGAAATTGTATGGGGTGTGTTTTTCGTCCTCTTCTTCATCCTCATGTGTTCGCCTTTAGCATTCTCCTTGGTCCCATTCCACTGACGTTCGACCTGAGTCCAAGAACACCACACTGATTGCATACGTGTCACATACTTCCATGGTCGCTCCGTTTATAAACGGTGTACCTGAGGTACGCGCAATCTTTTTCTACATGTCTCCATTTTCAGGTTTTGTCCCATTTAAGACCGTCACTGCTACTTAGTGGACACGATCACTTGGTAAGTTTAAGTTTGTTTGTGCGACAGATTTCCTCTTCACAGCGTGTTCTACCATCCGGTGGGATTTTGCATAGATGGTGTTCCGCACTCCGAATATATACACTAGTTGGAACTTAACAGCAAATTATGATTTCATGATAACCTAGAGACGGTTGGCTGTGGCATTTATTGGACAACGTTCCACTTTTACACGAAAGCGTTCTCAGGCTAAGTCGCCCATCGCATAACGATGCGGCACTTGGTAGGTAACTTGAGCGACGAGCAGTTTTGCCATAATTCCAAGGTTGATACAGTCTAATTCAAGGTGAACCAACCCGATTTTGCTCTGTTGACTCGCAATTACTTGAAGCGAGGATGTGAACCTCAGCTCTCCAATGACGTTTGCGTTTCTAAACCCATGAACTACTTGCCCGTCATCATTAGCTGCGGGTAGAAAACGTTTCAGCTACTGTGCCGCAATACATAAAAGAAAAAAATTATGCAACAGATGCATGCTAGCTGAGCTACTAGTAACGGAGGGGCATCGTTCCAGAAAATTACCAGCCTTCTACTGTGCAGCAAAAGAATTTATTATACAAAATTATCTTATGCTAAGAAATGACACCGCGATTGGAGTGATTAGGAGGGAAAACGAAACTCACAGCACGAACGCCATTGAGGTCGGCTCCTAGCCATGTCAGCAAGTGTATCCAGCCAAACGTATTCACAGTCTTTCGGACCCCAACTAGGGAGCCGACACTCCAACCGAAGCCAGCTTCGAAGTGACGGTCTTCATTCTTCTCGACCAAGTCCTCTCTTGGCTGTCCATCCATACCCCCAGCGCGCAAACAACGCACGATGCGGGAGTCGGTGGACTGGCATGCGTAACACGTGGTCGAGCCATCGGATCCTGATGCGTGAAATCACGGTGCTGAGCGGTTCATTTCCTTTTTCTGTGCGGAACACGCTCGTTGCTCACGCGGTGTTCCGAACAGATGTGAGCCAAAGTGCGAAGGTACCAGTGGTTGAACGTATCTAGCGTTCTTATATCGGCTGATTTAAGGGGTCAGGTTTCACAACCGTAAAGTAGGGTCGAACGTACGGCTGCATTGTAAACTCTACTCTGTCGCTGAAGTGAGAGGAATTTTAATGAGCTCACTAACAAATTTCCAAATGAAGTATCATATAATGCGGTGCTCAATTATTTCTTCTTTAATTACGTTAAAGAGGCAGCAGGCCGATAACCGCAGTACCCATTTCAAATGTGGAATCATCACGGTACCGCTCTTGTTAGGTCACCGGAAACCGCCAATTGCTGCAGAAGAATTCACAATGCTTTGTATTCTTTATTCCACTGCGGGCATCCAAGCATTTGTTTGATGGACTACAGAGGGAGTTGGCATGCCGCAGACTTACACTAGCCAATGCGCATGCAGGCCTCTTTGAGGTGAACAAGGAAATGTATGGTGCGTTGAAGGCTGCCGTTGCTTCTTACGTTTGAGATTATGTACCAACGGGAGACCGGTTTAAATACTTGCGAAGCTTAGCTAATTCGCATTAACTACTCTTGTTGTTCTTGCCGGTGTTAAACCTAGCGTTAAGCTATTCGTGCTCAACGAAAAATTCTACTCGTAGCAACAAATCCTTTACTATTATACCTGGAATCTTTTTCACGAGTAATTAGCCTGTTCTCACATTGCTTAAGTGGGCAATTTTCCACGTGCGCATTTGCTTGATCTAAACGCAGTCCACCTCAATGCATGGATAGTCACTGGTACTTTTTACGTACATAAGTGGTCACACTTTCAAACGGCACTGGTGATTCGTACGTACTAGGGTTGTGGAAGTGACAGCGCGAGTCGTGGCTGCACGAGGGATCGTAAACACTTCGATAGCCTTCCATATCGTCTCTCACTTCGGACTCAAATTAAAGCTATGGTGTTACTTGATAACTGGTTGCGCCCTTACGTGGATATTTGCCAGGATCCAAGCAACCTGGTCGCTTGTCGATATTTTCTGTCACAGAATCAAGAAACTTCTCAGATGAACGGACGATATCTTCAGAAAGGCGGGCACAAACAAAGCTGGTACCTACCGATAACAGTTGCAAATTCACCTGTAAGAATGATTGTACTGATAATTTCCGTTTTCCATATTTGCGAATAAGGGACATCCACTTCGTCGTTGGTACTTTGTGCACGGAACCAGGTTTAAGTCATAAAATTCAGGTCCCACGTGTATGATACCTCTGATATCAGTAGTGAGTCAGGGGATGTGTGAATTGGATGTGAGGTTGCGCCGACCACTGAGAGGTCGGCTACTAATCATTTTGTCTATCTTATGCTGACGACTGTGTTTGTTCCCTGAACAATCTCGTGCTTAAGGAATGGGGTGTGATCGCCAATTTCGCAGGCTGGCTGAGTGATGTTATCTGAAGTGTTCCCCTTACGAGGTGCGACTTAGTTTGCCGTATCTGTTGGTTACTTGGTGGACGCTGCCTTGAGTCAGAGCTCAAACAGTAGTCTGCCACGAAGTGCATACCAGAGTTCTAACAATCCCGCTTATGTCTAGCTTGATTGAAGCACTTCCATACATTGTGCCTTGGTAAGCTAGGTGGTGGAGCGGAAAATTGCAGCCCAATCAGAAGATTGGCCTTTGTTGAAAAGGTCTCCAATTATTCCCTACGGGTGCAACGTTGTATGAGCGACTGTGGGGTGACGTTCATTCCGGTAATTCAGTGAAGTCTTAATGTCTCCTGGTCACTACCAGGAAGATTGTCCAGCAGCTCGTTTTTTTGCGACGTGAATTCCTAATGTGAGCATTAACTAAACTACACTGGTTGTCCTGGATTTCTTTGCAACCGTACGTGCAGAGGTATGTGAGCACCATAATATGGGATACTTCACTTTTAAATGTAGCGCAAAAATCATCAAACACTGCGCTTATATCAACGACCGGGACAATGGTCAGTGCAGCCCAAGGCTTGAGTTTGAGTTTTCGGCTGACATCGAGTCCAAAGGAAGTCTTTAGACGCACGTTGTTGATATTCCTTATAAGGCTTTGGCTCAGGCGAAAATAGCCGACTTCGATTTTAACGTCTTAAAAGAATGGCGGAACAGTAACTCGGCCTACTGACACAGTGCGTTTCAGCCGATTCGTTAAGACCCCGATTAACTGCAGTAGATGAGCGATGCTTTGTCTATAGTTCTGTAGATGGTTTTGCAACACTACGCAGTACGGTACGTTCCCAGCGGTCGGACTAACGAGCACCTTGGGTGTGAATGCCATAATTGTCACAATTTGCTGCTTTTGAAGGCAAAAGTCAAAAATTGAATCTTGTGCCAACAATAGACAATAATGAGCACTTGTGACAGTGAGACCAGTGTCCGCTTTTATGTCTGTGCGTTTTTTGCTGTCCGTAACTTTTTTGTGCGCTTTCATCATGGAACCCTGGTGAAATTGTGACCAGTGACCTTCAATTGCATCCGGTGAGCGCTTACTCAACGCGCAAGTCAGCGATACGAATTCAGAGCATTTGACTTCTCCAGTTTGGCTGGTGTCTATGCGCTCACAACGTCATCGTGGGCGTTCGTCAGAACGCATCCGCAGGTCAGCATATACAAGTGCATGGTCGGTGTCCACACATGTGCTCCAAATCGATCGACAGTTCTGGACGCAGCCTCTCCAGCGGTAACTGATCGCATTATGATCGATTTGCGTCCATAACTGGTTCAAAGCTGGTGGGTGCTATGCCACCCTCCGGCGGGTGCTATGTCGGTAGTTAGTGCAGGTCATTAGAGGATAATTTTCCAACTTGAGCGTTCAGTTCCCCCGCCAGCTACTTGTCTGCAACCGACTGGTAGCGAGTCGCTGACTCAGCGTGAACCAATATGAATTCCCTGCCTCAGATGGACAGTGGAGATACCTTGCGATGTTTCCATGATTATATTCTGTCCTCAGGGGTGGCAATTTAGTGGTTTGCCATATTCCTATCCTTAGATACTCTTCCTATCATTCCGCTAATATCAGCTTCTCTGTCCGCGTGCGCAATCGTTTGTAGTGAATTGCCTTCTTTGAGTCACATCAGGGTGAGCTATTGCATGCTTGGGCATTTAATCTCGTCCAGCTTAGCATCTATTGTGGTGGATGGTTGTTTGGTTGAGAGTAACCGACGTGGCGCAAGCAGTCTCGAGCTGACCATGCTTGTACGAACCGGAGATAGAAATGAGAACTGGTCCAACCAAGGGTGAACAGTTTTGTCACGAACAGAAGAGAAGCGGGTCAGATGGACAATGGAGAATTAATTCGGTTAACTATGAGTTAGTACAGTACGAATGCAAATGTTGATTTGCAGTGTCTGCCAATTGTTCTTTTTCACCGTACTGAGACTGACACAGACACCGCACGACTGCTCGCGATCTCGAGAGAGTAAGAACACACAGGCCTTCCGCGAAGCACTTACTGCGCAAGCAAGACAGGCGAAGACAGTGCAGTCCCACGATTTTTACAGCCGGGTATTTATACCATGGGTTGCTCGTTATCGGAAGGACGGCCTAGTCGTTACTTGCCCTGGGAATGAAGTTGGTAATTAGAGTAACGTAATTACCACTCCTCATCTGTATCGTTAAGCGGATCACGCATTCGGCAACCTGGTAGCAGTGTCTCTTGGTGAGATAGATAGACTTGCTGACTGATAATAACGTCGTCGCCAATAATTGCGAACTGGTAATCTTGTCGCCGATAACGCATCGCGCATGCGTACCCTAGCAACCTAAGTGACCACTTAGTAGACGGGAAAAGGTGTTCGGCGCGACGTTTTGTGGACCCTTGAGATCTCCACAACAGCGAGTTCCTCGACTGTCCGCAGATTGTGCGAATCCAATTTCTAACACCTTTCGTATACTGATGTGGTCTCACTCGGTATCAAATGATATAAACTCATCGTGTGTGGGGCTGGCTGATGCTTACTGCACCCATCATGCACGCACAGCCATTGTCCATCACACATACCCTTTACCAGA